GTATGGCCTTAGGTTTTGGTGACAATCATATTTAATTTTGAGCAGTTACTCTGTACTATGCTTACAGCTCAACATGTAACATCCTAAGACAGGTCAGTGCACTGGGAAAGGCCAGTCTTATCCACTCATCAGAGAAGAGTTTCTGCTCTGCTTCAGGTATCGTGCTTAGTATTAGTACTAAGAATCAAAGGTAGACTAGGGCCAGACAGAGATAGTCCGTGTCCTCAAGAAGCTGCCAGCTGGGTTAGGAGAGGGTGGTAGAGAAAACTACAAGACAGCTGAGATAACATGGCTGGTTCATCCCAGAACCTGCACTGCTCTTAATACTACATATATATATATGTAGTATTAAGGATTATATAGTATATTAAGTGTATGTATATATATATATATATATCCTTGTGCCAAGGGCTCAAGAGGACAAGATTTTGCTCACACCTCTATGCACATCTGCCCAGACTCTTCCAAAGCCTATCACCCAGTTATGCACTGCCTGCATTTGCATGCACACTACCTCCCATGTAACCCAGGATAACCGAGGTTGAACCTCTGCTGACAGCCCAGCCAACACTCTCAGCCAGGTCCACATGTCTTCTGGGCTCCAGTGCTGCAGTTACATGACCCTTAGGCAAAGCCATGCCTGCTTTTGCTGCTGTAGTCAAGTTACACAGCACACATTCATGCAACCAATATGCCAAGGGCCCAGCACTGTGAGTCCAGTAGAAGCCTGGGTTCCAGCCCCAGCTGTGGCCCAAACATGTCCACTTGTAATAGGAAGCAAATGCTGCTTAGGAAGAGGCCCAATTAACCTCCAAAGGTGGGGCTGCAGGGAGGGATAGAAAAGAAATGGTTAGGTACTGTCCCCCCAGGGCCCTTTCCTCCACCCAGGAGCAAGCACAGGAGGCTTGAGGGAGAGAGGGATTGACACCAGACTGAGAACCCCTTAACTATGGTTTCACTGCAGCCAGGCCTGTACCTCCCAGGCAGGGCAATGGAAGATTCCTCCGTTCTGGGGCACAGACAGACCTGAGTTCAGGTAATTTCCTTTAGATTTTGGGAGATCCAAAGACAAGTTCAAGTTACTGTCCCACAGATAATTTTGGTCCCTCTCAAACTTGGCAATAAAGTTCAAAACTTAAGTATTAAAACTGAAAACAGTAAAAATAAAACTCAAATATTGGAGGGAGCACTAAACACTACAATTTAATATTCTCAGGGAGATGAAAGATGTATTCAAAAAACAAGATGGGGACACCATTAAAAATGGAATTTGTGGTCTTCAAAACAAAAAGATAAAAGCTCAAATACAGAGGCTGGAAGTCAAGAACATCACAAAGACAGAATATAAGGACAAATGGTCAAAGAAAATTCCATCAGGCCAGGAGACTCAGCATCTGATTAAGACAACTTATAGAATAAAAGAGCAGAAAAATAAAAGGGAGGTGATGATCCAAGGAATTTATAGGAGCCCCTGGCCTTTTTGGGCTCTCCCCTGCAACCCCCTCCCATACACCTGGTCAGCATCAACCCATTACAAAAAGAAACTTATTGGTTGAGAATCTTTTCCCACTGACAACTGTTTACCTCTCTCCCACCCATACTTGACTCTCAGTCATTTCCAGAAATGCATTTGTGATTTCCTCCTCTTAATCCTTCAGTGACTACCACTTTCCCACAAATTTCAAAGATGGTAAAAGACCATTTTCCAGGAAATTTAAGTTTGATCCTTGAGTCATAAAACTAAAAAGAGAGAGACAGGGAGAGTGAAGGAGGTGGGGGGCAAGCAGGCGTTTACACCAGGGCAGAGCCCAGAGGCCACACTGTTTAAATGAATGACCATCTCCACCAGTGAAGTTTATTTGGGCAAGTTGGCCGGGCAAGCTGATGTTGAAGAACATACAGGAGCAGAAGCAGGTAGTTGCAATTCCAAAGGCTCTCTTCCCACTACTCCACCAAAACTGTCTCCCTGTCAACTTGGGAAGCCAGTCCCAGTGGTGACTCCAGTGGTCTCTAAAATAAACTTTCACCAACTGAGCCACCTGTTCTCACCACTCCACTTTCATGGGTGTACATCCCTTCCCTAAAGAAAGGCTCCTGGTCCTATCTACATTTTTCTTCATTTCTAAAAGAAATTGATTAGAGTCCCCTAAATGACAGCAAAACATTGATTACCTTGGGAATGTGAGATTACAAGGGATGTTTAGTTTCTTCTTGGCATCTGAAGATAGCTAATTTGATTTTCACTCATATCAAAAACAGTGAAACATCTTTTGAAATATTCCAATTCCTTACACAAAACAGGTCCTCCTCCATTCTTTGCTCATTCCCTGGAAAACCTCAGGAATGCTAAGTGGGATTGCATTTCTCTCAGGAAATAACCACTTGCCAATATTTGAGTGTTTAGTACATAACATGCAACATTTATTGAATCCTCAGGATGTGTATTTTTTAATCTGTAGCAACTCAACTGATTTAAAATTCAACATCCCCAGCAAATCACCAACCATTTTTGGCCTATTTTACAGATGGATCAACCTCTGAGGCACAGGCCACTGGTTAAATGGAGTGAACAGGAATGTAAATCCAAACTTTATGCTAATGCCCAGGCCCCATTAGCCTTATGCCTCAGACTGTTAATATGACCCAATGAATAACAGGCATTCTACAATATTTAGGGTTCCAAGCTAATTTATTTTATGAATGGTAACTAAGGCTTGCTAAGCTTAATAAAGGATCCTGGGTTCCATTTAGTCCTAACAACTCTACTGGGTAGGTGAGTACACCTCACCTATGGAACAAGAATCTCAAGAAGGACTATGTGCCCTATGCATTCACCAAGCCACTTACCCCAGCTACAGCCAGACACATCTCAATACCTGCACTGGCTTTTTACCTTCTGAAAGGGCAAACTGTCCTGGGATGGTGGCAGATGTGGAAGTGTCCTGGGAAGTGCTAACTGCCCAGGTACAGAAGTGACTGGATAGCTCAGTACCTCAGTTCCATCAGATGCAAGAGGCCCAGTGAGAAGATCAGCCCCCTACAAGAGGGAGACCATCGCTTTAGAAAGGAAGAGGATGGTCTCCAAGTGAAAGGAGGAACTGTGTGCTTTTCCAGCTCTGGTCCACCAAGAAACTGAAAATTACCCTATATTCATGATTCATAAAACACCAGAACAAAAAAAGGCATGTGCCAGATGTAAGGCCCTGTATCAAGGGCTGAGGAGGGTTGGGGCACTTGCCGTGGTGTAGGACACAGGAGGACTTAAGAAATGGAGCAAGGAGCATCTCAGAGGAAATTGGAAAAGGTGTCTGAGCCTGGAAGCTGGACAGCTGGCACAAGAGCTGGACTGAGACAAAGGAATCCCAATGTAAATTTTTCCCAGGAGAACCTGCCCAAACCCTGTATCAGAAGCAGGTCCCTGGGGCTGCAATGAGGGGTGACAGGCATTTCTGGGTCACAGGGCCCCATATGGCTGGAGGAAAAGGAGGGGAAGCAAAGCAGCCTCCCCAGACCCCACCTCCTTTGCTCCTCCCCTTGGCCCCCTGCAGCTCCCAGATCCTTTCTCCCCTCCCTCCAAGGGCGGGCTGGTATACCCATGGCTTCAAGGAGCAGGATGCAGCCAGTCTCAGCTCTGGGCCCCCTTTGTCTCAACCCAATCGGGGAAAGGTAAAGGATCTCACTTAGCTCTGCAATTAAACCTTCAAGGTAGGCAGCAAGCTTTGGGGGTGGGGATAAAAATGGCCCCAACTCGTAAGACAAAAACCATGGCTCCTTTCAAAAGAGAACAAAGGCACTCTTTACAGCCAACTCCCAAATTGAGGATAACTATTTGGAAAAGTTTTCATAGCTGAGAGGAATAGAGTACCTGGGTGGAGGAAGGCAGGAAAGGAGGGACCAACAGAGGTGCCTCCCTTCATCCCCAATTTTCACTGATGGCCACCCTAAAAAGAGGGGCTATTGGTTAATTAGTACAGATATTAACATTCATCACCTGCTATGCCAAACACTATGGAGCCCTTCCCTGAATCCAGTGTGGTAGGGGCTGTTAACACCCATCAGACATCTGAGCAACATCGAGCATTAGAGGCTGTATCACACATAACACTGGTTTCATTCTTACACAACTCGGGATTACTATGGTTGTGACTATTTCACAGATGTAATAACTAAAGGCACAGAGGGCAATGAACTTGCTGGGGCAGATTTAACACATGCCAAAGCCCTGTGTGTCCCCCCTGAAGAGGGCAGCCAGTTTAACCTACATGCTTGATAGTGATGCCAACAGTGGCAGGCTTTTAATGAGGGATTACTGTATGCCAGCCCTATAAAATTGGTACCATCACCTCAACCCTGCAAAAATCACATCTGCACCTGGGCAATGGTGGGGGGTTCAAGAAGCCACAGCAAGCCTCCCAGAGGGCAGAGGCAGGTCTGTATCCTGGGCCCTCTATGAGGGCCAAAAATTACTGCCACTAGTTCACCAAAACCCACAGCATCCAAAAATCAAAAGACGGTTCAAAGTTCATATTCTGTCCTTAATTCCCTTTAATTCATGCACCTCTCAGCTTGCAGGGGAGGGGAAGCACAAGGGCCCAGCGTCTCAGACCAGGGGTGATAAGGATGGAAGCCCAGACCTGGGGTTGGGCCGAGAACTCCAGCAGCCCTCCCTTGCCACAGGTAAGTGCCTCCAGCAGGATGGTCCCGGCCCCAGTGCAGCTCCACGTTGCTAACTTGCTAAAGCCACCGTCTGTCTTTCCTGGCTTTCTACTTTCTCCCCTGTGAAATGGGACTCAACACCCACCTCCCTCGCTGGACAGTCACACCGGCACGGAAGCCTGCCTTCTAGGAGGTAGTGATAGAAGCTGTGAGGTCTCAGTTTGCGGAGTTTGGGAAGTGGAACCAGCTTTACCCCGGAAGAGGTAAAAAATGGAAAGTGAGCCCCCAGGGCAGACAGCGCGGCCAGGGCAGGGAGGCGCCGCCCGGGACCGGCTCCTCCCCAGCCAGGTGTGCTGGGCGGCCGCTGCGCCTCGCCCTCAGTGGCTCATCTAATGAGGACCCCGGGACACCTCCCCTCTGGCGCACACCCTGGCCCACTCGGTCTCCCGCACCCACGTCCACTCGGTTCTTTTCTATCCCTCGGAGAAAACCGAACAAAAAACGGCCCATTGCCTGAATCCCACAGGTCCGAGTCTTAAAGGACGGACGCCCACTTCATCGCAGAATTCTCTCCTCACTCTCTGCTGCCCCGAGGGCGGTTCCCTCTGAAGCCGAAGCAGGTATGGTTACCCCCTCCCCACGGGCAAAAACACCCCTCTCGCTCACTTCTCCTGAGGGCCACCTTCCGCCCCGCCCCCCGCAACGACTCTAGACGTTAGGAAGGCCACCCCGTCCCCCTCCCTGGGGACGAGCCTCTCTCCTCGGGGCCCGGGGTGTACAACAAGGGTATCCCTCCCAATTGTATCCCTGTAGGACATATGCCCCCTCTTTTCCTTCTTGACCGCTTCTCCTAAATAGTCAGGGGACCTCTCCTACCCTAGCATGCCTGGTCTTCAGCCGGATGGGAGCCGCCTCCCCAGGAGTCCCCGGGAGAGGGTCCCTGCGTGCCGACCCGGGACCCCTCCACCGTCCCCTCCTCCCCCACCAGCCCACGGAGCCCCTCGACTGGCGAGCTGCCCTCGGGGCCACGGAGCGCTCACCTGCCGAGAGCCTGGCTCGGGCGGGGCTCCGCGGTGGAGCCGCGGGTCGGGACAGGCTGGCGGGAGGCCGGCGGGCGGCCGCGCAGGGCGCCGGGCTCGCGAATCTCCGGCGCCGATCGCCGAGCTACGTTTACTTGGGCCACTTAACCCCCGCGTTGCCGGCGGGGCGCGGCCGCCCGCTCGCCCGCCTGCCAGTGGGCCGGTGGCGCCCGTCGGGGGGCGCTCGGAGTGTCCACGCGAGCTGCGGCCGCCGGACCGGGGCGGCTGCTGGGAGGAAGCCTCGCGGGCCGGTCCGGACAGGGGGAGTAGGTGGGGAGGGGGCGGTGCCGAGTCCCCTTGTAACCCCTGCCCGGCACTCGCCCCGCCCCCGCCCTGGGGCGCCCCCGCCGCAGCCACTCAGAGCCGGGCCCCGGGCGCCGGGGGGAGCCGGGGGAGGGGACGAGGGAAATTTGAAATCACTCCGGAGCCTCCCCTCCGCCCCTCCTCCACAGGCACCGCCTCCTGGTCCCCTGGGCGTGTTAAATCACCCGCCGGGATAACCGGCCCTAACGCGGGGCTCGCAGACCTCCGCCAACAGCGGAGACTGGTCCTGGAGCCTCACTTCCCCCCCGCCCCACCTCGACCCCGGACCCAGACACGCACGTCTAGTAGCGGGGGCCCAGAGAGGGAAGCGCTCCCACTGCAATCACACAGCAGCCGAGTCTCCCGTTTACCCCCACCTCCAGCTGCAAGGCCACCTGGGCGCTGGGGTGCCCCCGCCAGTCAGTCACCTGGCTCTGGACCCTCGAACTAGTCCTTCCTCCCTTCCTCCCACCGTGCTCGGCCTTTGTCAGCCATCTTAAGGGGAGGAGGGAAGCGCAGAGGAGGGAAAGCATCCAGGTCCCTGGCTGCCTGGGTTCTCGGGTACTGCTGGCATCAGGAGCAGAAGGTGAAGCCCCGTGCTGGTAGTAGGTCTCAGATGCTTCTGCCCTAAAGGAGCATTGAGCTACTGGAAAACTGTGCTTCCTAATATTTATTGCAGCTGATATTTATACTTAAATATTTGTTTACCTGCTTTTTGTGTGTCTCCACATTAGACTATGGGGCCAGGGTCTCAGTGTGTCTTAGCACACAGTAGATGCTCTATAAATACATGCTGAATGAATGAATGAACAAATGAGTGATGACATGATGGCCTATAGGACTTATGTGTCCTAGCTCTTGCCTGCCTTTCCAGACATTGCCTACCCTTCCTCCTCCCTCACTTCACTCTGTCCTCACCTCTGTATTGTTCCTTAAACACATCAATCATGTTCCTGGACATTTCTTTGCCCAAATCTCCGTATAGCCAGCTTCTCACCAGTCAGTTCTCTACCAAAAGCCTACCTTCTGGAGAGGCTTTTCCTGACCACCCCGCCTGAACAGTCTCCTTTCTCCATCATTCCTATCCTATTTTATTATCTTTGTAGCACTTATAGCTATTTGAATTGTTTTGCATAGTGCCTTGTTTGAATATTTCCTTTTCTTGCTTTTTTTTCTTGTTACATACACATATTACAAACTCTGCGGCATCACAGCAGGAACCACATCTGTCTGCTTGTTCCAAGATGTGTTTCTAGTGCCCACAGGAGGAGCTTGATAAAAGTTTGCTGAAGGAATGAATGAACAAAGATTTCCTGCCTCCTGAGCTCCAGTTCTCTGAGTAAAACCAGAGCTTTCTCCCTTCATCTCTTATCAGGTATTTGCAAATAAGAAAATGGCAAATTCTCTGGAAGCTACAAAAGTTTCTAAACTTACTGCATCTTGTTCTACCTAGGGACCTGGAGAGAGGATAGGAAGGTACAGGAGTGAAATGAACCCAGCAACTCAGAGAACCCCAGGTGAATGAGCAGCAGGAACTCCTAGGCATTGGCCTTCTGACACAAACATAGAAAACTGCCTTCCAGTCACTGGTGCAGGATGATGAGAATCCCTCAAGAGGGCTTATGGCTTGCCCCCACCATCTGGGGTATATCTTTAGAGGAGAGAAAAATGCATATGAGCTGGTGGGCCTATGGGGAGGGCTGCTGGGTCTCTGTTTTCTGATCCATAAGTCAAGACCTGCCACATGGCAAAGGATGTCCGTGCACCACAAGGAATGCCTGGGAGGCCTACTGAAGAGGCCGAAGAACTGGGGCTTTCTGGGACATGGCAGATATTTCTGGGGACAGCAGACCCTCTAATAAAAAATCCAGGAATAAAAAAGTAGAAGGTCTGATGGAGCAAGTGGTCTCAGTCCTGTCATTTGGAAAGGAGGATGAATGCCAGGAGAACCAGAAAATGAGAAAAGAAAAGACCCCCAGGGCACAGAACTTGGTAGTCTGCAAAGTTCCTTGGTCATATTCACCCCCTCATTTGAGTCTCAGCCAAATGAGGAATCAGGGCAAGGAAAACTGGGGGCTCCATTTCAGATGAAGGACCTAAGGCCCAGAGAAGAGAGAACTTGTGCAGAGTGAGGCAGCTGTGCAGCCTGATCTTGACTGAACAAACACCTGCTACTGCTACACAGCAGGCACCTAGCTAGGAATACAGATGGGAAGATCCAGAGCTTACATGCTGGTTGGCGAGCATCAGAAACAAACGATGAGAGAATGTCAAGTATGGATAAATATGGGAAGAGGATAAAATGGAGGTTGGCATGATGGAGCCAGAGGAAGACCTAGGCCAGGATCTACTTTGGCATGTGGGAGGGACAGCCAGTAGCCAGAGCAGCAGGAGTAAGGAGGAGAGAAATAACAGGGCCCATGTCTTGTGAAACCTAGTAAGCCACAGTGGGGGGTTTGGATGTTTCTATTTGAGCCATGATCTGGCTCAGATGCTTAAAATAGACTTGAGTGGGGAAGTGGATGGGGAGGAGGCTGGTACCTATTCTGGAAGACTGAGAATGGTGACCTGGACCACAGTGGGAGCAAGTAAGTAGAAAGAAGTGATTGGATTTGGGATAGATTGTGGAGGTTGAACCAAGCGGTAAAGGAAAGAGTAGCATCAAAGATGTCCCAGGGATTTTAGCTTGAGTACCCAAGTAAAAGGTGGTGCATTTACCTAAATGGGAAAAGTTTGCAGAATGTGGATTTGGAGGGGAACTCAGTAGGTCTGCCTTGGCCTTGTGAATGGGAGTCATACTATGGGCTGGGCTGGCACCCAGGTGCCCTGACTCTGTCCAGTGCTCCTCTTCCTGCCTGGGTGGTAAGCCATGCCATATACAACTCCCCCACCACACCACACTCCCAGATTGCATCCTCAGAGGGGGACTTGTCATCAGACATCAGAATCCTGCCTGCCTCCTACATCACATGGATCTGATAAATCACCTGGCCTCTCTGAGCCTAGATTTCCTCAGCCTTAGAGAGAAATAGCTCAGGAGATTGCCACTGGGACCAAATGAAAACATTGATGCTGGATTACCCAACTGGGCAGACACGGGCTCCAGCTCCCAAATAAATATTTTTACGGAAGATTTGCTATTTCTCTCCTACACCCTCAAGAGTTCGCTTTTTGATGTTAAAAAACAAAAACAAAAACAAACACGACCTGTTGGTATTACTACACACAAAGGCAGTGGAGAACACGGAAGGCTAGAAACAGAACTTCTATTTCAGATTGATTTCAAATCTTCTTGCACACAGGTGCAACAGTGTTTACTTAAAAATTTACTGTAACATCACAATCATTATGCTCATGATGACAATCAATATTTTTTAAGGAAACAACAAAAATTCTGTGATTAAAGGTCATTTGTTTCATCATCAAAAAAAAAAACACCAGATCAGAGAATGTCCTTGCTCTTAGGAAATAAGCAGTAAGGTACTTAAGGAAAAGGGCACAGTGTGTCCAACTTACCCTTAAGTGGTTCAGAAACAATAATATGCATATACATGGGAGAGGAAAACTGTAAAGCAAATGGGGCAAATGGAGAGTCAGGTTAAAAAGACATTCCTTGTACCAGTTTTATAACCCTTCTATAAAGATTTTATTAGAGATATTAGACTGGATAAAGATTTTATTTGATATATTAGAGATTATATCAAATAAAAATTAACATTAAAAAGAAAACCACATATATCAACAACACTCCACCAAAAAAATCAATTGGAAAAATTTTTGAAAAGAAGAAACACACGTACATACATCCTTAGTACCCTTATGCTAATAAATCAACACATCAATGGACTTACACCTGTGTTGTGGTTAAATATTATATTTGTGTTGAATTATACCATCATCTTTTCAGGTCTTCAAGCAGCTACAGGTTTTTAGTAACACATGCAAAGTGCTTGACACAGAGCCTGATGCATAATAGATACTTCATAGATCACAGGTATTTTTATTAGAAAGTTGACTTCATCTCTCTGTGCCTCAATTTCTTCATCTGTAAAATGGAGGTGATAATAGTACCTGCTTTGTAAGGTTGTTGTGAGAATTCTGTGAGTTAATGCATGTAAGGCATTTTGAGCAGTGCCTGGTGCATAAAAAAACACCATAAAAGTGCTTGTTAAGTAAAAAAAAAATGCACTGCTTTCCTGGTTGTCTCATCTCTTGAAAGGTGCAGAGATGAGCGTTCTGCCTGTGACCTGGGACTCCCAGCTGCTTAGGTCCACAAGCAGTGTCTAGTATGATGGGCCCCATTTTACAGTTGAGGAAACTGAGTCTGTGCAAGATGAGGTTTGTCTGAAAACCACAGCTGGTTGGTGGCAGAGCTGGGACTAGACTCCCAGCCCGACCCCCCACTCTGTGATCCCCCCCACCACCACTCCCTGTGTGCTATGCTAAGGAGTCTGGGCCTCAGTCATCTCCCTGTCTAATTGGAATAATAATAATAATAATAGTAATGCCTACTTCCCGAAGCGACTGCGGGGATTCGCAGAGCCCGTGTATGTGAAAGAACTCCATTGTAAAGTATTCAGTCTTAATTGCAGTGTCATTAGAGGGCACGTTCATTTGCAAAGTGGGTTCCTCACCTTTCGTTTTCAACAGGAACGCCCAGACTTCTTTTGCCCCCTTGATCCACGGAAGGAATTATTTTCTGCTTTTTTTAAGCCCCCAAATGGGCCATTGAAATATTTAAGTATATGTGCCTTAGACGAGTACACACAGTCCGGCTGGGTGTTACTCATTGGTATTATTAAATAAGCACAGTAGTAGTAGCTATTGAGAGAATACCATGTGCCAGGCGCTGGGCTGAGCATTTTATATGCACTACCCGTTGACTTTTAGGGCAGTCTGACTTACTAGGAAGGAGTGTTATCTCCGTTTTACACATGGGGAAACTGAGGCCCTTAGCAGCAGAGTAACTGTCCAAAATCATAGTGCCAGGAAGGGTGCCAAGAGCACAAACCACTGTCCCCATCTCCTGCTGCAGCAGCATGGAAGCTCCCCCTGCTGTCACCAAAGAGGACGCTTTGGTGGAGGAGGGGTGTGAATATTTATTGAATTTGTTAAACTACATGCCAGGCACTGGGGAAAGACTGGGGATAAAGCAGAGAACAAAAACAGACTCAGTCCTGGTGCTTACAGCTACGTAGGGGAAACACATTAATAAGTTTATCTCATGAACAATTGTGATAGTACAATTGTGTTAAATGCTATGAAGACAAGGATAGGACATAATAAAAGGATTTTAGGTCACAAGGTTCAATAAAGTGACCTGAAAAAAACACTTTCTTGAGAAAGTGATGGTCCAGCAGATCAGCGAGGAAGCAGTGAAGCAGGCTAAAGTGTGGAGGGAAATGCTTTCTGGGCGGCAGGAACAGCCCTGGTTGAGGTCCTGGCACACCACAAGGAACTGAGGGGAGGCTGTGTGGCTGGAGCACATAGCTGGAAAGGAAGACAACATCTTCTTTTGTGAAGGCAGGTGAAGATGATGGCAGGGGCCGGATCAAGTGGACCTTAAGAAATGGAGCTGCTGGAGGGCTTTCAGTAGGCAGGTCAGTAATGTGATCAGATATGAATAAAGCATTTTGCAGTCTCTGGTACAATGATAGCTAATAGAAGGCAAGACAGACCTCCCTTCAATCTGTAGGAGTCTCTGTATCTATAGAGAGCATTTTATCCCCATTTCTCCAGACATTGAATGAGTGCTTAAGTTACTTATTACTGTTATTAGTAGTTACAATATTCCTCCTAATTCGTTTCCCCTGAATTGCCTAAAATCATTTTAAAAGACATGATTAAGGAAACACAGCCGTACTGCCCATCGCCCTGAAACATCCCTTTTAGTGTGGCCTCATGAGAAGAGGTTCCACCACAGAATAGTCTGTGATCTCTTTTGTGGCTTTTGACTTGGGGCCCAGGCCTGAACCACTGGTTGCTTTCTCCATCCTGAGCCTTAAAACACATAGTATGCCTTAATCTTTAGAGAATGCTCCATGTCCCCTCCAGATTTTGTGATGATCATGAAATGAGGTAGCATTTACTTAGATTCATCCACACTTGATAGGTTTCCACTTTGAGGAAGCTCTTGAAAAAGTCTTGCTTCTGTCACTTTATGACCTGGCCTAGCAACCTCACCTGTCTGAGCTTCACATTCACCATATGTAAACTGGAGCATGGTGAGGGTTGAAAGGGATAAGGCACATCCTCATGTGCTCACACATGTGGGCACAGACTTCGCCCTAGAGATCTCCCCCAAGGAACATCAACTGGGATGGAGGTGGTGATGGGGACAAGAAACTACAGGTGTCCAATAACCAGGCCTTGTTCACTTTTACAAGTTCCAGGCCCCTGTGCCCATTCAACTTCCATCTCAGGATCTCCAGGAGACCTCTGTCCTTCCCCAGTCTACCTTCCAAGTTCCAGGGTTCCCATCTGAAGTTCTTGTCTGCTACTCCCAGGCAGATGGATAAAGGATCTCTTGGATTAGTAAAGGGTTTGCCCCCTATCCCATTACCCTCAAGCCTCTGATTAGATCTCTTGCACAGGTTGCTTTCAGGGCAAAAGCTAGTCTTGGAGGTAGAGTTGAGGACATGTTATATTCTACGTGTATAACATTTTGCCCTTTCCTTGGTCAACCCATATGGACAAAATGTCCATGTCAGCACATTTGACTCTGTCATTCTTTAATAACTGCTTCACAGAATCCCATGGTGTCAATGAACTACAATCTATTTTATAATTTATCTTGTGAGTGGACAGTTTGTTTACCCCCATTACAATCCCAGCTACAAAAAACATTCTCTATGTGTACCTCCTGTGTAAATATGTTTTTAGTTTTAAGAATTACTGTTGAATTGTCTATGATGACTATATAACATATTAATTACTTTTTATAATTTTCCAACATTTTTGTTAAGAAAATATTACTACATTCAGCAAAGTTGATTTACAGGGAACACCCTTATCCCACCACTGAGACTTTGCTGTGAACATTGTATACTTCTA